TGCGCAAACCGAGGGCTTTCCCCCCCCCCCCCACCCCCATATGGCGTCTGGCATTTGATAGCTAAACCAGCAAGGATTGCATACTGTGATTGCCCCCCTCATTAGCGATTGAGAGTCTATCATGTTTCGGTCAGCGAGGGAGCAACATCCATTAAAAGGCAGTTGCACATTGATGAATCTGCTACTATCAGGAAGTTGGCAGTAGCAGAACTGCCAGAGTGACATGGTCCTTAATCTAACAGGTATTTAAGTGCACATACATTTATGGTTTAAGTGTGCAGAAGATGCTATATGGAGGCACACAACGTTTATATTAGTTCTAGAGTAAAAAAACAAGCGGTGTTTAGTTCAGAAGATCATTGGCCGTATGTGACCAGTGTGAAGGGAACAGGTGAGTGGGACTCGTGCATAACCAGAAGAAATCTTGGTATAGCTGCCAAAAGCCTGTTCACAGTTGTGCATTCTCGTGCACTACATCTTCCTGGAAGAGAACTTTAAACTATTTAAAGCATACGAAAATAAAAATGTGCTTAAGCACCCTCGGGGGTTACATGGGGGTTGCCACTGCCAACTCTTCTAAAGATTCTAGGCGTCTGGCTAGAAACATTGACTGAGTTCAGTAAGGTTGGAGTCAAATAACTGGAACAAGTATGCATATCTGTAAAAGAAAGGACAGATATCCATTGGCATGCTCGTTTCAAAGTAAGGGACACAAATTATTGAAGAGGGTAAACAGGAAAGCCAGGACACATTTGCAGAAGGAGAAGCAATAGCACCTCAAAGTCTCTCTCTCAGGAAAGGAAGCCTTTACAAGGAAACCAGTACTTAATTCAGGGCACTGTTACAGACCTCCCCTGAACATGCTAGTTTTCTGGCAGCATTAATACGTTGAATAGCTTATATTTTATTCCAAGTGAATGACCTATTACAACCCCACAAAAAAAAAAAAGAAATGTATCAAAGCCCCACTCTGGGCAGTTACATTTACCCATGCAGTGGGGTTCCAACTGCACTGCAGGCTCTAAATGCTCATTTGAGAAGGGGAGAAAGGAATACTTGCCTTATTCCTCCTTCCTTAAGTAGCCAGTGCTCCCCTCCACTCGATGCTCCCAAAATGGAGGGCCCTCGCCATCCTCCCGTACAATGCTGGATTGCTGCTCCTGCATTGTATGTGATAACGGCAGAGAGCTGTGAACGGCTTGGCAGCAATGTGAAGCGGCTTTGGTGGATTGGTTGCAAGGAAAGAATGAAGCCTACAGGAGCGAGGAATAAGGTATTTGTACTTATTTGATTAACAGCAGCCCAGAGTGGGATTTTGCAGTGCATCTAAACCCAAGATGAACACCATATCACAGTTTAACAATTTTTATATGTAGCGGCTGCATTTGTTTTGTTTTAATTCACCCCCCCTGGCTGGTACGCCTTTATTTTGACCTGGTTTTCCAGCCAGTAACACTTCATGTCTAAGGGTGTCAACCCTGTAGTGCATCTACGGAGGGAGCAGCTGTGTCACCCTAGGACAAGGTGTTTTAGGACTACAGCACACCTCTCATCTCCATAACACTGGGGGAGACATTTTGTAGTCCAGAGAGCACCGCCAACTATAATTTACTGATAAGTCAGCCCACAGAACAGCAAGTTATCAGCTCACAAGATTTCTGGCAAGGATTAACAGATTATTTTTTCCCAAATGATCAAACATAACATTTTAATGGTATATTTAACAGACCAACAGAGAAAAAAAGAGTGCATGGTTGGGGTTTACAAAGATTAACAATATTACAATATACGAAAACATCAGTTAATACGTTCTTTTTATTGCGCAAAGGGCTTGATAAAGTACCTACTTGATAGTCTCGTAAGCCGACCAGTATAATGTCTGATGTGTTAATCCACACCTAATGCAAGGAGAAAATGTATTTCTTTTATTTTAAATCAAAACGCATTCTTATAGTACAAATTCTTTAATAAAGTCTCCATAGAGCAAGGGTTGGCAAACTCCGGCCCTCCAGCTGTTGTGGAACTACAAATCCCATGAGGCATTGCAAATTTCTCACAGCCATGATTCCCAGACAGATGCCTGATGGAATTTGTAGTTCCACCACAGCTGGAGGGCCAAGGGTTAAAACAACTTTATTGGAGCAAAAAGAGCAATGTGCTGGTTTTAAAATTCTCATTTACGATAGGTAGCAGGAGATCTCATATTAGAGGTTTAGCAATAATTTTAGCAGCATGTTGATATCATGCCAAGGAGACAAAGAAATAAAAGTTTGTGTCAATTACAGTCAATTTTCAAATCAAAATGCACAATTTTATATTAATTCACAATATTAAGGGCTAGTTTGCACCAGCCCCAGAGTGTTCCTGCACGCTTCGGTGCCGGAAAGTACTGGATTGCATCCCGGCTGACTCATTGTGTTCTGGGGCAGGTGGGGGCATGGTGGTGCATTGAATTCAAGCCTTCCATGTCAGATGATCATACACCTTGCAAGATGCCTCTGTACCTCAGAACCTAGGCTTCAACTGCAACCACTTGTCCCACGACAGAAAATTGCGTAAAGGGCAATTTGGGTCATAAAATCTTGCATTACTATGGAAAAAAAAAAAAAACAGTCCACCAAGGAGGGCCTGGTAACACGTGAAGGTGGTGACTCAGCAGAAGGAACAGACTATCAGAGAATAGGATTTCAGAGTACAGGCGTTGGGATTGTCAGAAAATGCACTAAGCTGCTCCAAAACCATTGGTAGAACGTGAACTGGGGGCACCAGGTACAGAATCCGACATGCTGTGGCCACATTGCCTTACTGCGATGTATAGGATCAGACTAAGAGGCAAGGCCTCGGGTATTCATGAAGCCTAGACAGCTCATGGCAGGTGAGGCTCTGGTGGCCAGAGGTGACCAAAGTCCCTATAGGCAGGCAGCAGGTATGGAATAATCAAGCCTACATAGAGTAATCAGACATTCCCATAAGTGGAGAGGGCTAGAATATGCAGAGGAAGGGGGCTGAGCTGTGGAACAGACTAGAGAATTTCTTTTTTTTTACGTGTTCACAGGCACATTGAAAAAGTGAATAACAACGAATTTATGGAAAAAGGAAGTGCAAGTAACCTTTAAAAAGATACATTAACAATCTCTGCGGTTTTACCTGCATTTTAAGCTGGTAACAGGGTCCCTTTAAAAGTCACCCCATCTGTGCCCATAGCACTGCCACTATACAAGTACATAACCTCGGGCCCTCCTAGTGTTTTGAAAACCACAGGTCAAAGATGACTGTTTTTTATGTACTGCGCTGATAATATAAATGTGTCCTTTATGTGACACAGCTGCCTATAAAACTAAGCACTGTCTTGACAGATACACAGGGGTTGTTAGGTTGCTGGCAGATAATCAATTTAACAATTTGGGGTGAACAAGCTCATGAATAATCATGCGTTATATGAAACGTCACCTACCTTTTTTCTCAGTTTCCCTCTAATGTGACATAGTCTCTTCACTCCATCAAAACACATAGCTTCCAGTCTACCATTTCCCAACATCTTGATTACCTGAGCATATTCTAGGAAGACATTTCAGGTAAAGCACTTAATTACAAACATTTTGCATAAAACAGGCACTAAAAGATCTATATTGATACAGAACATGCATTTTAAAGACATATCACAGTAACTATATTCAAATTAGCATTATAAAGTATGCAAATTATTTTGTCTAACAGATAAGTTATGAATTTTGCTCATTGTTGCTAATGCAGGAAAGATCCTTTAAGGCCTATTCCCAGCTACATTCTAGATTAGGAAATAGGCAAGAATGATGGATTCTGGACTGCGCTCTTGCATCTTTCCATTTAAGTCAACTGAAATGGGGTCCTTCAAAGATGGAGAGCAACACATCTGAAATGCAAGTCAATGTTACAAACGTTATAGCATGCATTATGGTGTGAATGAGCAGTAAAGCAAGTTATTTAAAATACACAATAAAAGATCAGTTTTATAACAGCATAGTACTGCCAATGTAGGCTAACTTCTCCTTTACAATATACTATGCAGTGAAGGGATCCAATTACTTTTAAAAACACTGCAGTTTAGAAGACTGGTCCTTAATTTAAATGCCAAACTCATAGGTCAAGCTCGGCTTCCCCATAGCCTGGTTGAATAACTAGCATTGGAAACATTCCAACTCACCATGCCTAGGATGCACCGTGAGTTAGGCGTTCCCAGCATTACAGGAACAAGTGCTCTTCCTCCCTATTGCAGCAGCACTGAGCTCAAGTGCTGAAGGGACAAGGGAAGGGAGATAGTATTGTGCATGTGTGGGTCTTGTGATGCCAGGGGCATGCCTAACGTACCCGCAGCTCTCAGTGGTATCTCTTTTGGACTGCCACGTCACTACAGGATATTGTAGTAACAAAGGGGTTGGCAAGAGGAACCAATGATAAAATACGAGACAAAAGAACAGACTTTTAGCTGGCAATTCTTTGTTCAGAGCAGCATCAAGCAGAGTAGGTGGCAAGATATTTAGGTATTTACATACTTCATCACAGGAGCAATATGAGAACTTAAGAAAAATTGCTGACATTGTCACTTAAATGTAATTATAATAAAGAACCATTTGAAATTGCCTCTGATCCTCTGCTAGAGGTTCTTGTATATCCATAAACTTCAGTTCCATAAGTTGGGGGAACAAACATCCATGAAATGAAACCTTTGCTTGCTGCAATAGCCAACTAACACGTGTTTATATTAGAGTGATAAAATCAGCATTTCAAACCATTAAAAATTCCGAAGTACGCCTGTTGTGATCTAAAAGGTATTTCTTGACAGCAGCAAGTTTCAGACTTTAGGCAAAGAACACTGTAGAGAACAGGTATTAGGCACTAGTTCATTTAAAAAAGATACCAAATGGTCTTTACCTTGTCCATCTTCTTTGAACACCAGTTCTCTCTTTTCAGATTCATTTTCATTCTTACCACGCCTTCTGTTTTTACCTCCCTTACCTGCAAGGAAAGACATCCATAAATATAACATAATCAGTGTACATCAATCATATACAGTCTGTTCAGCTCCCAGCACTTATACAAGATAAACTCTTAGGCCTCATCCACACTATCGCGCATATACGTGCGTATTGTACCATATGCAAATAAATGGCTCCATACACATAGCCGCGTATGGAGCCGTATATTTGCGCAGCGTAAAAATGCGCAAAAACAGAATGGAACCGAGATGCGTCCAGGCAGCGTATTTCACATGCATACGCATGTTTGCACGTACAGTTAATTAAAATTTCCATTAGGAATGATGTATTCTGGGAATGCGAATAGTGCACGCATATACGCACATATATACGCGCATAGACGCTCGTATATACGCAATATACAATTTTGCTTGAGTTGTGTGTGAATGAGGCCTTAAAAAGGTCCAACACCATCTTTTTTCCTTTATTGAACTAGGTTTTTTATGTCACAAAAGGTTTATTTAGAAAAGAGAAAACTATAACAAACCATACAGAACAGGATCATACAATAGAAGAAGCATAGGGAGTGCAAAGGAATGACTGTTTAAAATCACATCAAAATAACAGCAATAAAAGCATGAACCAAGATCCATGGGAAGAGAGAGTGGAAGTGATACGGATCCAAGAACAAAAGTAAAGGTTCGATCTAACCCCCTAGAGGGGGTCCATGGTAAGGTAAATAAAACCAAGGTTACATAATATATAGAATAAGGACTAAAAAGCAACAACTGACAAGTGAAAGGAGAAAGAAAGGAAAAAGGAATAAGCAATATCCCCAGCAGCCTATTTTTAACTGCTGCATAGCTCAAGTTTGGAGTCTTCCATGACCTTACTATGGTTAGTTTAGTAGGCATAAAAATGTGTTGAACAAGCTTCCGTTCAGTAAGTAACAAGGAGTCCATGGGCTCAGTAATGCCTCATGGGGGCAAAGGGGTGTAAAGAAGAGTCCCTAAGAGGTTGTACACATACACCAAATGTCTAGTGGCGACGGGAAAAGACCACCATAGTGCCCAGAGGGGCAACCTCAGAAGCAAGTGGAAGTATAAATAGGTAGGAAACTTGCTTATCTCACCGGAGTATCATCTGTATAAAACGTGGAGTTTCCAATAGAAAAACATTTTGTGAACACTTCGAGGTAGCCTGCCAAATATCTTGCAATACCTCGGGAGCAGTCAGGTTTTAGTCCATGTATGTCCCCATTGACAAGATTTCCACCTGATGACAGCAATTCCATAGACTGAGGTTGAGGGAGGATCTCCAAAACCAGTAGACAAAGCAATCAACTATATCCAGTGGCTAAGTGCGTGTCTAAAATAAACACAGATTCACTGGACAAAAAAACCGGTGACAAATGAGGTCCTAAATTGTCCATAAAATAAGATGGTGGTGAATGCAATGCCAAGAGAAAAAAAAAATATGTATTAGCTGGCTGTATACTATTGACATACATGCTCAGGTCACCTAAGCATACATGTTTAGCTGAACTGAATGTATAAAAAAAAAAAGAAAAAAAGGAGCAGTAAGCTCCTGGGAACACTCGTCTTGAAAAAAAAAGAGTGATCAGAAAGACAATTTTGTTTCGCACTGCAAATGAGAAAACAAAAAGAACAAAACAAGTTAAACATTAGTTTGAGACGAGGATCCAGAAAGACATTCTGGAAACAATGTACTGACTAGTAAATCAACCCTAAAGATTTTTCAATGAAAGTAGTAGAGGCTATGTGCTTTGGAAAGTAAACGTTCACTTAGTTTAGTAAATAAGGTGAACGCTCAGAAACAGAGGTAGATCTGTGGTAGGCACGACCATAGACATAATGATGCCGAAGTATGCTCTGCTCTAGACAACAGGCAATAGCTGCCTCAGCGGTGGCACCAAACAATTCTGACACGTTACCTTTGGGAAAATACTGCCTTGAAAGATTTCCACAAGTGGTGGACCACTTGATTTAAAACCGTTATCTCTTCTGGTAACCAAAGAGACCAATATCTACTATCTTCAGTTAAATAACTGCACTGGATCAAAACTGCGTCCAATGTATTCCAATGGTATTTTTTGCTCCAGTTCACATCGCAGCGTGCAGTTCCAGAGCAGGTCCAGCGCAGGTGAAAAAACTGAAGCAGGTCCTATTTTACCTGCTCTGGATCTACAAACGCATCAAAAATGCATGCAAATGCCTGGAACGCACTGAAAGCCCATTTTAAACGTAAAAAATAAATAATTTTTTAGCCAAAAACGCATCTAAAAGACTAGCGTGCGTGTGCAGAAACCTGACCGGATCTGCTCTGCATTTGGTGTGAACAAGGCTTTAAAGAACTCCAGGAAGTTGACATTTCTGGATGTAATTTTTACCCCAGTTCATGATCATCTTCTCTCTCCCAACACCTTCTGTCCTTAAAAGGGGAACTATGGGGTGGGTGAATTACAGTCATCCATAATTAGAGCTGATGTGTGAAACTGAAGCTGTCACACGTAGGCGCTATTGATCAGGAACTGAGCGGTAACATACCGCCAATCGCTCAGTTCATGATCATCTCCCTGCAGGGATTCCCCCTCCCAGTATCTAGCACTGACTGGAGGAACGGACAGGCACAGCTGGCTCTCTCTAGAGAAGCAGAGCCAGTTGTCAAAACAGCAGGGTGGATCCTGACATTAGCAGCTCTGCGCTGTCAGCATATAACGGGCAGTAGCCCGCTATATGCTGAGTTTTGGTTCACAGGTGGACATTAGTAAATATCCTCCTGTGACGCTAAAGAGAACTATGGCAAAAAAAAGTTTGACCCATAGATCTTAATCAGCTAATGTTATGCCTCCTCACCCAAATCTATTATCTGCTGCTTCTCTCTCTCTGGGGAAATGACTCATGCTTTGGTCCCTATCTTTCTTCGTCAACCAGCTCCTTCTATCCTCTAGCTCCCAATGCTCCATATTCCACTGTTTGTCATCTCTCTCTGCCACCATCATCTGCCATAATAAGCTACCACTCTTCAGCCTGCCTCTGTCCCCCCCCCCCCTGCACCACCATTTTCCCTCCCGCCCTATCTAATCCC